CAAGTGTTTTTCCTCCTTGGACTGTTCTGGTTTCTACCACCAGCAAGCGCCCAGAGGACAAACAGAATTGGTAAGTTCTCCGGTTAGTGAAACATAATGCCTCGTGTAATGTTTCTGTGCCCATAATAAGTGAGTCCCACATAGAGTGTCTGCAATGAAGCTGGTATTGGTTTGGCAGCTCTCAGCAGCATTATCTGGACTCTAATGTGTGGGTTCACTGCATCTGGGTCATTAGGAGTAGTTGAATGCCCAACGGGGTGGGTACACCTCAGGTTCTAAACAGGCCCTGAAGGGAAAACCCAGAATTTTGAGAAGTGGAAAGATTGGGTGTCAGGGATAATTCCTCCTTCTCTGTGTTTGTTTATCCATTCACTCCCTCTTTCTCCCTCTGTCACTCTTTAGGGTATTCCAGTTTTAGTCGGCTCACACACTGTCCCATAGTGGACAAGAACCTCTTTCTGTTGCCATGTCCCACTGAGAAATCTTTTAATAGTGTCACTAGGCCATACTGAAAAGCCAGAAGTGGGCCCAGAAAGCGGTAGCTGGAGACTTCATATACTGGACTGCAGTACCTGGAGGTCTGTCAGAGAGGAGCGAGGGAGAATGAAGTAGCAGTAACTCTGGGTCTGTCCTTTTGGCAGCTTCCCCTTAAGAAGCTGTTAGTATTACAGAATTGGAAATTAACAATGAGATCGTGATCAATTTCATGTAGAAATTAGAAGCACTGGGAAATCCTATAAATGGAGCTAAATCCTGAGAAGCATTGAGGACCGGCAGCCGGGGCTGGCCCTATACCAAATGGTGCACCCCTCCCCCCTCCATTTGTTAAACTTTTAAATACCTTATATATTTTTTTTTTTTGCATTTGTAGCTCATTTCATGACTTTGATGCATGATTTGTATGCATGATTTATCCCTGTCTCATAAGACTAACTGGTGATACTAGGGTTGCCAGGCATCAGGTTGTTGACCGGAACGCCCAGTCGAAAAGGGACCCTGGCAGCTCCGCATAGCCATTAAAAGTCTGGTCAGCGGTGCAGTGGGGCTAAGGCAGGCTCCCTGCCTGCCCTGGCTCTTCCCAGCTCCCTGGAAGCAGCCGGCCCATCCGGCCCATAGGTGCAGCGGCAATCAGCGAAGCTCCGAGTTCTGCTGCCACTGCCAGTGCCAGCTCCACAGCTCCCATTGGCCTGGCCCATGTGAGTTTTTTGGGGGCGGCGGTTGCGGGCATGGGCAGCGTACACCCCGCAGAGTCACCTGATTGTGCCTCCACCTAGGGGCCGAACATGCCGGCCACTTCTGGGAGCATCACGGAGCCAGGGCAGGCAGTGAGCCTGTCTTAGCCCCACTGTGCCACCCACCGGGAACAGCCTGAGGTAAATGCCGCCTGGTGAGAGCCCCCACCCTGAACCCCCTTCCCCAGTCTGGAGCTCCTTCTTGCACCCTGAACCTCTGATTTCTGGCCCTACCCTGGAGCCACCCCCCAGCTGGAGCCTTCACCCCCTCCCGCACCCAGCCCCCTGCCCCAGCCCAGTGAAAGTGAGTGAGGGTGGGGGAGAGAGCGAGCAACGGAGGCAGGGGGCTGGAATGAGTGGTGCCGGAGCCTTGGGGAAGGGGTGAGGTCTTGGGAAAGGGGCAGGGCCAGGGTGTTCGGTTTTGTGCAATTAGAAAGTTGCCAACCCTAGATGATTCCTTGCTCTGTGTATACTTGCGAGGGTGTGGCTGACAACATTCTTAGAGGCTGGAGGAAAATGTAGTTCTCAGAAAATCTGGAAGATTCCATGAGATCTATAAAGGTCCAGAACATTCTAGGAGGCTAGTGAAAAATGAATCCACATACGGAATACTTGAAACATTTTACTTCAAACGTTTGGGTTTCCATTTTGTCACTAACAATAAAAACGGCACCTCAAGCTCGGCACCCCCCAAACCTGGCACCCCAGGTGGTTGCCTGGGTCACCTGCCCCTAAATCCAGCCCTGCTGCCAGCTCCCATTGAGGCTAAGAATGATGGGCCTGATTCTCTTCTCACATATATCAGTGTAAATCAGGAGAAATGCACTGAAATCAATGGCCAACATATGGTGTAAGGGACAGGAGAAGGAGGCCCAGCATTTCACAGTATCTCCCCTCACTGATCGTATTAAAGGACTTGAAACTAGACAGCCAGATTCTCAGCTCGTGGAAATTTAAGAAGCTATATTACTTTTGGCCTTAATTTTCTTTCCAGTCAGGACAGAGAGAGCGAGCTCCGGGAGTGAGGATAAAATGTTTACTGGGGGATACGATGTTTCTGGATCTCTCTATAAAGAGCCAAGTGGGATGTCAGCTGGGGGTAATGGGCAGAATCCTCATCTGTTGTAAATCAGCAAAGGTCTGTTGTAGTCAGTGGTGCTACACTGATTTACACTAGCTGAGGATCTGGCCCTATATAACTAAAAGGGAAATAAAGGAAACTTATTAAATGAAAGTTTTATTTAACTTTTTAAATTGTAATTTTATTTATCTGTTTCTTATGTGTGTTTAATAAAAGGCGCTCTCTCTCTGTGTGTGTGTGTGTGTGTGTGTGTGTGTGTGTGTATATTTATATCTATATCTATATCTATCTATCTATATCTATATCTATATATTTAATGGTGGTGGTTGCAACAGGAGAAGGTGCCAGTGATAACTTGATACAAGACCCCAAACCACACTTATGTGTTTAATGTTGTAACAGTACAAAAGGGTTTTATTATCACCTCAGTCCAAGAGGCCCAAGGCGCCTACCCTTATCAACACAACAGCCTAAAGTTCTATTCCCAGCGCTGGGAAGGGTTGTAGGTTTTAACAGTTAGAGCACAAGAGACTGAGAGTCAGGAAACTTGGGTTCTATTCTTAGTTCTTCTGCTGATTTGTGGGGTTACTTTGAGCAAGCTCCTAACCCTCTCTGTGCCTTAGTTTCCCCGTCAGTGCAATGGGGACAGTAATATTGACCCATCTCCTGGTGGGACTGAGAATTATTTAATGTCTGTCTGTAAAGTGTTTTGAGCTTAGACAGGAGGTGCTGGGGAAGGGCAAACAATTATTCTTAGAGCTGAGTCCAAATCATTAAGTGTGCATCTGGATCTGAAGTTTTTCTGTGTTTCCATGAGTGTTTGGATCCAGGATTCTGGTTCTGAACTATTATAGAGATCAGGGACAATCATGGAGTTCTGATCCAGATTGGAACATTCCCTGAAGTCGTGTTTGGTTCCAAGGTCTTTGTTGGGTTCTAAGCTGTCTAAGTTGTGCTTGTTCATTATTTAAAATAATGTTTACTATTAAAAAAAAAATTATTTTAATTTAGATTAAAAATATAATGGGGAAAATTTTCTAGCTGCATTAAGATTTTCAAGCTCCTTTTCTTTTTTACTGGGCCTTATTTTTTGGCCTGAACAAAGTTGATCCAGTCCCTTTTACTCTGTCCACCTCTTGACAGTATCTCTCTCCACCTGCAATGTTTTATTGCTATTTTTCCTTGCAGGCACATGTCAGACTGAGACTCTGGGAAGAGAATTCATCACCTCCTACATGGCGGACTTTGGGAACTCTAGTCAATTTGAAGTGCAAATTACTGGTTACTTTGCCTTCACTTCTGTGTCTGTTTCCATCTCCAATTACACGGGTGATGGGGGAAGGTTTGAGGAGAAGATTATGGTAAATCAGGGAGAGATGGTGTGGGTCAGCCTACCGGAGTCAGTGGGAATTAAGGGCACTACCAAGTTCTCCAATGTGGTCCTAGTCAAGGCTGACAAAGATATCTCAGTAGTGTCCGTCAGCAACAAACATGTGAGCCCTGAGACCACTGTGCTGTATCCTGTCTCCAGCTTGGGAAATGAACACTACATAGTGACTCCCTCTACAGTATCCTTAGATAGTTACCCAGAGTTCTCTGTTGTGACGTACCAAGAGCCCAACTCCGTGGAGGTCCATGTGAAAGGCAAGTTACATTACCTAACACAGATCTACTCCACTGGCACCAAACTGGAAATTAAGCTCCGCGCTTTCCAAGGCATCCAGTTACAAGGCATAGCCGTTCTGTCTGGCACCAGGATTGTCTCAGAAAAGCCAGTGGCTGTCTTGGTTGGCCAGGTGTGTTTTTTTGATAACACAAAATGCAACCATGTCTTTGAGCAGCTCCTACCAGTTTGCAACTGGGGTACAACATACATCATTCCTCCCTTACCCTGGCAGAAAGTAGATGAAATAGTCTACATCACTGCTTCCCGGAACACAACTATGTTGTATCAAGTAGGGGAACAGGCAGAGACTGTTACTCTAGCAGGAGGCAGTGTACTCCAGCGTCCTGTCAAGCCCTCGATCCCAGTCTACATCTCTGCTAATGTGGGCATCCAGGTGGTATTCTACAGCGTGGGCGCAGCTATGTCTAATTCCTCCCACGCCTTCCTGATGAATGTTCCAGATGTTGCCAGTTACTGCCTGATGTATTCTATAAATGCTCAGGAGGGCTTCGAGAACTTTGCCTTGATGGTGGCCAATACATCAGAGACTGGCGCCATCATCCTAGACAATGAGCCTCTAAGGGATGTGGTGTGGAACCGAGTCCCTGGCACTGAGTTCGTTTGGGGCATGCATACGCTTGGACCTGCCATCAGATCCCATGCTGTGGAACATCCCAGCTCTCCATTTGCGCTCCTGAGTGTTGGCACTGCCACCATGGACAGCTATGGGATTCCGGGTTCCTGCAGGAAGGGTGAGTAGCATGGGTTTAAAATCTATTTTGACCACAGTTTGTGTCCATGCTGCAAAGAAAACAGTGTCACAACCAGGGAGGCAACGATGGGCCTGGTGTAAAGTCTGTTGATTTTGATGGGGCTCCATTGAGTTACAGCAGCTGAGAATTTGGCCCAGCATGCCATCCTAGGCCACCACTAGCCACAGTTACTCAGGCTATGTCCATACTACAGAAGCGACAGCAGCACAGCTACGGCGCTGCAGCTGTGCCTCTGTAGCACTGTAGTGTAGGCACTTGATACAGCGGAGGAAGGAGTTTTTCTGTCACTGTAGTTAATCCACCCCACCAAGAAGTGGTTTCTGACCTTGTAACTGCATAACCCACTACTGTTTGAGCTAAGGGACGAGCTCCCATAGCTAGGAGCTGTAGCAGAACCAGACCCTTGGTGGACCAGCCCCTAGAGGACACATAACACACACTGAACAATGAGATACACAAAGCTTAAGTGAGTATTAACCAGGTGATGTGTGGACACACACCAGGCTTTTGGAGCCGAATGTATTGCTAACTGAATACAGACTCAGTTGAAAGTTGTCATATAGACAGGGCTTAAGGGATCAATGCAGTTAAAGGGAGAAAACCCCTGCTGGGTTTAGGTAGATCATCAACTTTGTATTCTGGTAGGAAGAAAGGACGGCCCTTGTGGCTAAAATGCTAGGCTAGGACTCAAGTGATCAAGCATCCATTCCCAGCTCTGTCCTAGAGTCCCTGTGTGTGTGTGTGGCCTTAGGTGTGTCACATAGGCCAAGGTTTTCAAAATTGCCTTGTGATTTTGGTTGTCTAACCTGAGACCTTAAAGGGGCCTGATTTTCAGAGGGTGAATGCTCAGGACCTTTGAAAGTCAGGGCCCTTTTAAGATGTCTCAAATCACGAGACACTTTTGAAAACCTTAGCCCTGCAGATGTTGACCTGATGTAATTGTCCTGCCTTTCTTTCTGTTGCTAGATGTTCCCTTTAAATCCCTGACTGAGACTCCACAGATAAAAGAGCAGATGGAGATGTGCAAAGATGTCTTTCTGCAGGTACGTCGAAGGGGTTTATTTGGGCTTTGAGGGTTTTCACAAATTGTACACAGAAAACTTTGAGCCTGAAGATTCTCAGCTTATCCAGGGTTTACCACTGACTTCAGTGGGAGCAGAATCAGTCCAACACAAAGTGCTTCTGAAAACTTGACCGTATCATGCTTAGGTGTGTGATGCCCCCACGCACTGTACATCAGAGTTCTGCAGTTAAGGCACCAGCCAGAGATTCAGGAAGTCGGAGTTCGGTTCCCATCTCTGCCCCAGACTCCTTGTGTGACTTTGGGCAATTTTCTCAGTCTCTCTGTGCATCGGTTCCCCACTTGTAGAAGGAGGATAATAATCCTTACAAACCCCTGTTAGGAAGGGAAGGAGAAATTCATTAATATGAATGAAAGCTTCAAAACTATGTGAAATATCAGCGTGTCTGTGGGCTTCACCACACTTAGCCTTAACGTGTCGTAATCTGTAGCATTCCAGTGGGACACCCAGCCAGCCATAGGTCAAAGCAACATCGCTCTGCAGAACCATTAACCTTAATTTTGGGTGGCGTTTCCATGCTTGCAGAAATAACCCATTTCCTCTGATTGTTCTGCAGGGCAGCACCAGTGAAGTTTGCTCCTTCATGAAATCAACCTTAGTGAATTTGGAGACCATGTATGCCCAGGACAGAGCAGTATTGCTGCAGGTCAGAGGTTCTGCCCCTATGTGTGGGCGCTCTATGGCCAAATGCCCTGAGCACTGGAATAGCAGTCTAACTTTGGGAGAAATTGTAGCTGCTCTTCAGAAAAGGGATGTGTGTGTGCATGTGCATGCTCTCTAGCTTAAGTGGCAGGGGATCTGAGTTCTGTCCCCACTGGTCCTAGGAAGATCCAAATTGCTTCCGGGGGCAACACAGAGAACCTAGATGTCTGCTGATTTGTTGCAATGTTCTCTGGCCCGTACACTGAAGGGACCAGGGATGAGGAGGGAATGACACAGGGCATTAGCCCTACCTTGGCTTCAGCTTACTGTGGAGTCCTGAGCAAGCGTCAGTAGCCTCACTCGCTCTGTAAAGGGCTCCCTCTTTGAGAATGCTGCAGTCCCGCTGAGTGGGGAAGGTCACTATGAACCCATATGTCCCTAAGAGGGGTCATTGTTCCCCTGGTAGTCTGAAGAATGTGTCTCATGAACCACTGAAATCCTCCCTCCTTCTCAGGGTGTTTCCTTTCCCAATCCCAGGAAGTTGCTGGCCCCTTTGATTCTTTCCTGAATGGCTCCACTCTCAGTGCTGGTGGGAACGAGAGCAAGAGGGAAGTGGCCTCTGCCGTGACGTTCCTCCTGCAGAGTGTGGAATTGGCTGCACTGACGGCTGCTTTGAGTTCCCCAGAGATGAAGACCCAGAACTTGACAACAGAGTCTATGGGTGAGGAGGATGGGAGGCTCCCACATCACCTGGTGGTGGCTGTGAGTTAGGGGGTTATACTCATTTTTTCAAGTATGCTCCTCCACTGCTGCCTCGCTGCCCCTCTCTCGGGGTTTATAACCCAGCCATGGGCGGCAGGTGAACGAGCCATTGAGAGAGGCTAGCCCGCAGTCCCTCCCTCTCCGCCCAAGGCCCGTCCCTCCCATTCCACCCCCTCTCTTCCTCTGCAGCCCAGAGCAACCCTCCTCCCCCCAGGCTGCCCCAGCCCCAGAGCGCCCCCAACTGCAGTACCGGGCGGAAGGGCAGGCAGCGTGATGCGGCATGGCCCCCGCCCCAGTGTCCTGAGCCCTGGGCCTTGTGAGCACTGGTCCCAGCCTGCCTGCCCCAGCCCCTCAGCCATGGAAGAGCGGGTAGGGAACTGGAAGCAGGCAGGAGAGGGCCTGGGGACGGAGCATGGGCGGGGCCATGCCAGGCTGTTTGGAGAGGCACAGCCTTCCCCAGCCTATGCTACCCGCCACCCATAAACCCAGCCCAGGGGCTTTGCAGCAATGGCAGCTGCCTGAGAGGGTTTTAAAAGCAATGCCAATCTCCCCTTCGCCACAGGCAGCTGCCATTGCGTCCTCCTTTCACTCCCTCCCCCAGCAATACCCCTTCCTGCTGCTTCCCCTGCTAAAGCGCAGAGGTGAGGCAGCAGGGAGAAGTTGCCTTCTGCCTCTTGGCACAGTGGCATCTTCATAGGGACCCAGGGATGATAGATCATAGGAGGTCAGCCATAGGGGCTCAGGGAAACACAGAGAAATGGAGGTGAGGAGAAAGGGGGAGGAGGTGGTGGGATTCAGAGAGAGTGGAGCTCCAAACTTGCCTTGCCCTTGCAGCAAGAGGCTTTGCCATTTCCCTCCCCAGCTATCGAGACGCTCCTCGTTGTCCCGGCTGCAGGTCCCTGTGATGAGGTCTTCAGGCTGACAGGTCCGGAGGAGACAATGGACATTCACTGCGATACGGTCACCAGAGCAGCGACAGAAGGTACCATCTTGGTGCTTCCCAAGCACTCACCCCTTTAACTAAACACCAAACTCCAGCCTTAGTTCTCCCCTTCCTCTCACCCCAGGCTGGCTTGCTTGCCTCTGTTATCCTGACACTAGGTGGACCTTGTTGGCGGAGCCAGTGTTTCTCAGGCCGTTGAGCTCTGCAGAGCCCTTTATTCCGGGTTGTCCCGCAGCATGAAAACCGAGCAATGGGAGGGGCAGGGAGGAGAGAGAAGCTTTGATAGGCATATGAATTGGTCCAGAGAATGGAAAGATCAGAGATCCGTTGGTCCAACATGTGATGTCCTGATGATGAGCCCAGCTAGACCCCAGGTTGACGTGCGTGACGTCCTGGAATGGAACCAGGATACTATTTACCAATTTTACTCCAATTTTCAGGCCAGTATGACCAAAGTGGGACTGGTTCTTAACTCTTTATCACCAGGGAAAGCTCCTCACTAACCAACCCTTCTGCCTCTCCTAACCAAGAAAAACTATGGCTTCACCTTCACCTAGGGCTGTTTACCTAGCTGGATAACGTGCAGTGTGGGGGTATGACTTTTTTTAAAGAGCACTAACATACTGTGCATTTAATTGGTCTGTAGAGACCCTACTAGTGTGCACTAAAGGTTCCCTAGTGTGCTTTAATGTACATTAGTGCACTTTAGGACTCACACTCCCATAGTGCATGCCAATGTTTCGAACACTGAAACACTTCTGTGGAAGAGGAGGGAGGAGGCAACATATTCTAGTGGTTAAAGCTCAAACTGCTAGCCAGGACAGCTGGGGGGAGGGATAGCTCAGTTGTTTAAGCATTGGTCTGCTAAACCCAGGGTTGTAAGTTCAATCATTGAGGGGGGCCATTTAGCGAACTGGGGTAAAAAAAAAAAAAGTCAGGGGATTTGTCCTGCTTTGAGCAGCGGCTTGGACTAGATGACCTCCTGAGGTCCCTGATATCCTATGGTTCTGTTCCCAGACTTGCTGTGACCTTTGGCACCTGGCTTGCTCTTTCTTTGTCTCAGTGTCCCTGGCTGTATGATGAAGCATCATTTCATGTTTTCAGATTCTGGGGCTGTTGCTTTTATTTCTTACTCCACCCTGGACTCCATCATTGACAAGAGATTTCTCAACGAGGGAGATCTAATCGTTGATGAGAAATTGAGGAGTTTTCACCTGAATTCCAGGGTGGTGAGTGGGGCTATTGGAGATGGGAGGCCCATGAATATCTCCAAACCTGTGAACTTCACTCTGCGCCATAGACAGGTGAGTGTAGATCCTTTTACTTTGCTCTGTGCCCAGGGCTCCAGGTGGTCACTTAAAAGGTGAATCTCCTGCAGGGCATTTGAGTTGTGTTGTCTTTCTGGACTGAGAAACAGTTATCTGAGAAAGAGAGGGAGCTTCTTCAGTCCTGACACGGGGGCTGTTTTGGTGGAGGACGTTACATAGGGTTCGCACCAGGCCTGATTGGGTTATGATTCATCATGTAAAATGCTCAGGAGTAACAATTGTCTGGCTCACCCCTTAGAGCAGGAATAATTGGAAGGCATCTCCCTATAGCAGTGGTCCCCAAACTTTTGAGGGTCACCCCTCCCAACCCGTTCACGCCCCTCCCCCTGAGCCAGGGCCGGGAGCGGGGCTGCGGCTCGGGGGAGGTGGGGAAGAACACGGACAGGGGTAAGGGGGCTGGGGATGCAGGTGTGGGGTGGGTCTGGGGCCGGGAGCAGGACCAGAGCCATGGCCGGGGGCTGAGGCTGGGGGCGGGAGTGGCGCAGCAACCAGACTGTGGTGGGGCCAGCAGCTGAGCCCATGGCTAGGTGCAGCTCTGTTCCCAGCCCCGCCCCTGCCCCCAGCCTGGGCTGGGAATGGAGCTGCAAGGGGCTGGGGCTGGGAGTGGAGCCATGCTGAAGCTGGGGACGCTGCCAGAGATGGGACTGGAAGTTGGGTATGCGGCTACTGGTGGGACCAGAGCAGAGCTCAGGGTGGGGAGGGGCTGGGTGGTGCTCCCTCTCTGCCCCCCCATGGTGGCTGACCCGAGGCCTGTCATGTCCATCTGAAGGTTCCTCTGTGTCCCCCTAGGGGCGACACCCCACAGTTTGGGGACCTCTGCCCTATAGATAACAGAGTTCAGGAAAACAGCACGAGATGGTGCCTTCTTTGATAAAGTAATGAACTTGCTAGGGTGCATGTGGATATTTGTGGGCAGGTGTGTGAATGCCTTTAATGGCTCAAATTGGAACTGCAAAATTGTGTGTCATAGACCCTGCAGTGCTCAGAGTTAAGGGAATTACCACTTTAGCTCTGGGATTGGGGGCTTGTGCTATTGGAACTGGAGGGTCTCGCTTGTATTTCCACTGCTAATGGGAAGTCCCAAATGGCTGTTAGGTGCAGCACAATGAGAGCCATGAAGCTGTTGGTGAATTCAGGTTTCTTATTGTCTATTAGAGATGTGTGACAAAAGAAACCGTGTTCTCCCCATGATCCAGTGAGGAGGAGGAGGAAGAGGATGATGGTGTTTTTGTTTCCAGGCGAAGAAAGAGGAGGAAGAGGCTCACTGCGTTCACTGGAAATTCATCGCTGGGAAAGGCACCTGGGCTGAGGATGGCTGCACTGTTCTCCACACGAACAGCACTCACACCATCTGCAGCTGTGACCATCTCTCCAGCTTCGCACTCCTTATGGGTCACACCGAAGTGGAGGTATCTCACTGTCAGACTCAGATCAAAGGGCTGGACTCTGAGCTCCTGACCTGGGCAAAATCAATGGGAATTTTGCTGAATGAATGCCTAGTAGGAACCTCAGGGTATAATCTGTGGCAATACAGGAAGGGTCAGGGTCAAGGGGGCTGGCCTGGGGTTGTGATCCGAGGCGCCTAGAGCAGCCTACACTGAAAATGCCAAGGTCAGGGCAGGCTGCAAAAAGGAGAGCAGATTCCCCCCAAAATGGTAGTTAACTCTGTAGTTAGAATCACCAACCAGTCACAATCTGTGCTCCGGATCCCCCACACTGGTTATCGAGAAGCTGAAAAAAAGAAATCACACAGCCCCCTTTATTGCATTCCAGTCTCTGGCTGCCAAACAGCAGACAGGTCCTGTAAAGTGAGAAGTTACTTAAAACTCTATTCACTTAACAAAATGTTCTTCTGATTCCCAAAGGGGCAGCCACATTGCCAGGGCAATATTAGTTTGGATTAGTGTGGAAAATACCACACTGCCAGCCAATCCTTTAGTATCTAAAACTAAAGGTTTTATTATAAATGAAAAGAAAAGAAAGAGAAGAGAGTTGTTAAATGATCAAAGCAATCTGATACATATGGCTTAAAGGTCCATATATCAGGTTCTTAGCAGCTTTGTTGAGTTTGCTGGCTTGTAAAGTCCCTCTGGAACACATCCAAAGCTTAGATGGGTCTATCAGACCTTTATTCAAAGTTTGTAGAGAAGTTACTGCAGAGGTGAGAAGCAGGATTGAAGACAAAATGGAGGTGATGCAGCTGCCTTTTTATATCCTTGTCCACGTGGCTTGTACTTCCTCTGTCCCAAACACAAGCTCACAGCACACGGGCATGGAAAGGTGCTTGGAGTCCCGTGTCCATAGGCATGTCCCTACATGTCCTGCTGACTCCTAGGCATAGCCCCTCGCTTCTCTCAATAGGTTCATTGTAGAGTCAGTGGTTCTCAAACTTTAGCAACCCGAGGATCCCCATTTTGATTTAATTTTTTTTGCAGACCCCCAAACCCCCCATTCCATCCATTTCCCCCAAGGCCCCACCCCACCTCTTCCCGCCCCAGCTCCACACATGCTCCTCCTCTTCCCTGCTTCTTTCCACTGCCTCCTCCGAGCGCTCCCCACCCCCACCCCTCTCACTTCCCCTTCCTCCCAGCACCTCCTCAATGCCTCTGAACAGCTGTTCCCCAGCGTGCAGAAGACACTGGGAGGGAGGTGGAGGACTTGGTCAGCGGGGCTCATGGACCCCAATTTGAGAAATGCTGGTATAGCTGATTACCCTTGATGGGCCATCAAACAGACTGTATAGTGCTGATGCCAATCTGTCTGGGGGTGTCACCCAGAAACACAGCAGAGATATATCACACACATTTATAACTCATGATGCAAAGAGGATACATACATATAAACAAGATTCTCATACTTAGCAAATCATAACTTTTCTACTCATATCTTCCATGGCATATCTTGTAAGATTCATTGCAATTTTGTAATATTGGTATCCATAATATAAATGTATCAGAGAGGTAGCCATGTTAGTCTGGATCTGTAAAAAGCAACAGAGAGTCCTGTGGCACCTTTAAGACTAACAGATGTATTGGGTATTCACCCACGAAAGCTTATGCTCCAGTACATCTGTTAGTCTTAAAGGTGCCACAGGACTCTGTTGCATAATATAAATGGTCACCCATATTCCATATAGCGTCACAGGGCTCACTGGTGATTCTCCCTCTGCTGTGTTACAGGACAGTTACCCACTGACCATCATCACCTACATGGGACTGACCCTCTCCCTGCTGTGTCTCCTCCTTGCCATCCTCACCTTCCTCCTGTGCCGCTCCATCCGCAACGTCAGCACCTCCCTCCACCT